TGATGAGTGTTGCTTTATGATGCTGATTATATTGATTGATGTTGAGATGATGCATGATGCTGATATACAGGTGGTTGCTCACAATATTGTGAAATAAATGCATGAGGTAAACTTGTGATTGTGATATTGAGCAGGATGTTTATCTAAATGTTGGAACTTGAATTAGCCTGTGTGAGGATTGAACTCCAGAGTTTTTGTGAATGATGGCTATTACTGTGAAAGCATGAATGATTTTGCCCAGGTTTCTATGATTGAATCACTTGCTTTCTCGTGTCATATGATCAAGGCCATCTGTTGTTATCCCTTTTTAGCCAATGCATGATTTTAGCCCAATAAAAGAGAGCACAATGTGTTTTTTCCTTTGAACCTTTAGCCTTAAACATGATATGAAAATCCTTTTTGAAAATCTTTACCTTGAGTTAAGCTGAGAATATTTGTGTGGTATTGATAAAGGTTCAAGTTTAGGGTTGTTGAGAAATCTGAAAAGGGAAAATAAAAAGAATAAGCATTGAGCTAAGTATTGAGCAAATGAAAAGCAAAAGAAAAAGAAAAGAAAAGAAAGAATAGAAAAGCTCAATGCAAGGGAAAGTTGGGAATAAGTGAGAATGGTTTCTTGAAAAAGAGAGATTGTGTTTAAATGTTGAAATTATGACTGACTCTCTTAGCTCAAGGATTTTGTGATTTGGAAAAACTAATTTTCTTCTTAGCTCAGCCACATTACAAGCCATAGAAAAGTCCTTGTGATGACAAATTGCTTGTGAGTTTGATTGATTGTGGTTAAATGAAAGGCAAAATTGATTTATGTGACATTGTGATAGTAGAGTGAATGAGTCACCTCTATATACACCTGTGTGTTTGAGAGATACATTTTTCCTTGGTGAGGAGTAGTCCATGTATGTATGATTACATCTTTGCTTGGTTGATTGATCATTCATGAGGATAGCATCTGTGGAATATTCTGTTATTAGGTGAGCACCACAATGAGTTAATTGATTTAGGGCATTTATTCATCTTGATTGATATTCTTTATAATAAGCTGATATGAGCGATTACTTGTCTTGAAAGAAAAGGTTTTGAAATGTGTTGAAACCATTGTATTGATTGTTTGAAAGCTAAGTTACATTTTGTTTGCTTGAGGACAAGCAAAGTTCTAAGTTTGGGGTTGTGATAACGGTTGAATTTACTGTTATTTGATACTTAATTTTGATACTAAAAACACCCTTTTTGACTTAGAAACTAACTTGAAATCATAGTTTTGTGTGAATAAGAGAGTTGAAGGTGAATTTAATGATTTTATGCTTGATTTCCTTTTTTTCAACAGGAATTGATATGATTTGGAAGAAGAGTTGAAGTAGTAAGGAGTTGGAACTCAGGAAGAGCTGGAAAAGCATCAGAAAGGAGGATCGCAGCAACGCTGAGCGCCATTTTAGGGGCCCTCAGCGCTGGAGTACACTGTCTCACGCTTGGCTGCCCTTTTTCTAAAGCCCTTAGCGCAGGAAGTCCCTGGCTCGCGCCTAGGCTCCCTTTGTGGGGCGTTGACCGCCACTTCCTCGAGTCGCACCATGCCTACTTGCCTTTTGAGCTGACCTTGAGCGTCATATGATTCGGCACGCCGCTTGGGCGCCCTAAGTGCGGCGCTGAGCGTCAGTTTCGTGGGCTTGGATCCGTTTTTTGTTATTTTTATGTTCTATTTAAGGACTTGGAAGTCCTAGGGATTGTATCTTTTGAAAGAAGAGGCGCAGAAATACACCCTTTAACCCCTCAGAGGCGGATTTGGATGCGGAAGCTCCTATATTTAACTTCTAGGGTTTTATCTTTCATTCTTTTCCATTATTCATCTAGTTTCACCATGCCAATGGTGAACTAAATTCTATTTGTTGTTGGGGAATGATGTAAATCTTTGTAAACTCTCATGTATTGAATTGATTCTTAATTATATATTCTTCTTTCATTAATTGTTAGGATAATTCTTCTTCACTCATTGCTTGCTTTGTTTAACTCATTCATTAGCATGATGTATGATTTGCATGAGTACCAAAAAGTATCTTACAATTCAGGTTCTGGAGAATTATTGCCAGAAGCAGTATTGCTCAGGAATGGGGGTATGAGTGCTGGTTGTCTTAAGCTACTAATCGTAATGCAGAATTAATTGTTAGGGATGCAAGGAATTGTGACCTAGTAATTAAGGATAGACTTTTTTCGCCGAGGAATCGGATTTTAAGTACTTTAGATAGTGACATTGACATTAATGAAGAAGTAGAATTCGTATATACATGAGAGTAAACTAGGTGAAATCTAATCCCAACAACATATTCATCCCATAATATCAAATTCATCTGTTCATCTCTGCACTTTTGTCCAATTGATCAAGTTGCATGCATATTTACTTTTCTGTATTTGCATTTTAAACCAAAAGATTTTGTTTCCAAGTCTTATTTAATCAAGAAATCACATAACTGTTTAGGTCGTGAGTCTCTAGGGAAACGATACTTGGTTTTACCATGTTTATTACTTGATACGATTCGGTACACTTGTCGGAGTCTTAACAATCTTACCATTCTCAATCTTTGTTGGTTCAAAGGGGCCATTGATAATAGCATCCCAAACACTTTTGTCAACTGATTTCAAGAAAATTTTGATCTTTATCTTCTAAACAGGGTAATTTTCACTCGTAAATAGTGGTGGTCTATTTGTGGATGCACCGTCTCCAAAGGTCTAAGATATATTGGCCATCAAGATCGATTTAATCAATTAAGCAGTGAAAATAATCGATTAAAATTTGACTAATTTTCAAATTCCAGCTCTGGTGCCAATTGTATGAAAAGTAATGCCTTATATCTCAAACCAAGAGGGGAGTGAATTGGATTAGCCTTTTTTAAATGATCATTTCAAAATCTTTATGAGTTATTTGGCTTTCTTGAAATCAATAAACAAAAAGCGATGAATCAACAATAAAAGAGAAATAGAGAAAGATTCAACACAAACAATCTATACTAGTTCGGCTAATCCCAAGCCTACATCCAATCTTCCTTCAATAACCTGGGTTGAAGGGATTCCACTATAATTAATTGAGTTTATAGAATACAGAGATACTCATCTCAATGTACTTCTCTCTACACTCAAAATCAATATAGCAATACAAGATATGAATAACCTCATTCTCTTACACAACTGAGAACAATCACAGCTCTCAACCCTTGGCAAACCTGCACAGGTACACAATCACAAATTGTTTATGATAATCTGATCTTCAAGTCACACTCCTCTAGAGTAGATCAAATCATAACAGCTTAAGCACAATTTCTTAAAAGAATCTTGATGGGTAATCAACCAATGAAGCTTTGATTCTCCCAGATCATTTTTTGAACACTCTGTAATCAAAACTCAATGGAGTGTGTGTGTGTGTCTTAACGCATTATAATCGATTAAGGTTTTTATGTAATCTGTTAAACTTTTTTTTTCTGTTTTAACGAATTATCCTCAACATGTAATTGATTATATAAGCACATAAGCCAGTTATTAATTCAATTAACAATTATAACAGATCAAGCTTTAAATGCAAAGGATTAGACAAAATAAACTGATTTAATCGATTAGCAAACTATGTAATCGATTAATCCTATACTTAAGCAAATTGTCTATCACATTTTCATTCTAAACATATTAACTCACTTATGAAAAAGATTTTGGCTAGCTTTCTGTTTTAATCGGTTATATACCCTGTATAATCGATTACTACAGAACAATTTGTCCATGTTAAGCTTATTAAGTGATCTAGTGAAATCTAATAGATCATATACTATGTTTCATCAATTATTTCAACCAAAAATGAGATATTCAATTTGTTTTAAGCATGATTCATTTAACACTAATGAATTCATATATCAAGCACAAACAAGATAAAGATAAAACAATTGTTAGTCGAAATCATAAAATCTTTCTTTTGTTCATCATAAAAAAAGATATATAAGAAGATTAAAGTTCTCCTTATCAACACAATTCATTACCAATTTAAATTCATATATTGTACTAACCTCGTCAAACCATAATGCATGTGCAACATTTCACACATAGTAAGTGAGGAGAGATGTATCGAGTGGACCTTTGGAAAATCCATCAACTTCCTCTTCACTGACATTCCCATCCTCCCACTCCTAAACATGATGTTACTCTTCAATAACATTAGGCTCCTACTCATGAATATTAGTTTCTTTCTCTTTTCTCTAAGTTGATGCACTAGGTCTTCTCCTTATTTTCCTTTGAGAATAATTTTCTCCTTGATAAGAAGATACACTTTGCGTTCTAGTCATATCTACAAAAACACAATAATTTATCAAATCTTCAAAAAAACAACAAAATAAATAAATAAATACCATTAATTAATATAAATTAAAAATAAAAATTATTTCAAATATGTTGTTCAAAAACCGTTGAAGGCCTCACCAATTTTTTCATATCAATGCACATCAAGCCAAACCAACATGGTTGAAAGTGTATAACTATGCAAATGTTAACAAAAACGAACAGATACCTTAGTTTTGCGTGCTTTGAAATAGTGTTCGTGCAAAGGGTGCTGTAGTGGCATAAAACTTTCTTTCTGCATGCAAGAGTAGAGCAGTGGTGAAATGACACGAAAAGAAAAACTGGAAAAAAGAGAAAAAGAAAAACAAAGAGGAGTAGATGAGAACAAAGTTAAACAAAAAACAAGATAAAAAAAATGGAGTTTAAAAAAAAAAGCTTAGTTAGATTAAAAGCTTAGTTTATTTCTCATAATTTGTGTCTGCCAAACGAATTCTAAATTTTACTTTTATTAAAAATTCGTAAAATGACATCCAGAATTTGGTTTCTAGAAAACTAAACTCTATTCTAACGGTAAGTAAGTAAATATAACGGACAGTAAATATGAGAAATAAAAAACGTGTCATAAAAGAAAAAAAATCTACCAAATTCTAAAGTGGGAAGAAGCTACACTTCAAAAAGTGCAACTTGCATTGGTGCTTGTGCCTCACATGGAATGGATGGTCCCTATATTCATTAACTCGAATCTGGATGATGCAGTCACTCGTGTAGTTCTTCTGATGGCTTCCAACGCAGTCCGAGTGTTATCTTTTTGCTTTGAACTCCTTTTTCTCATCCTTCAACTCCCTTTCTCTTCTGTGCTACAACCTGGCACGACCCATGGATTCTCAATCCAAGAAGCAACTGTTTACGATCTCCAACTTGCTTTCCACAAAAACCAATTAAGCTCTAAGCAACTTGTTGAATTCTACCACAAGCAAATAGAAATCCAAAACCCTGTTCTGAGAGGGGTGTTGGAGTTAAACCCAGATGCTCTCGCACAGGCAGACAAAGCGGACCAGGAGAGAAAGACCAAGGCACCAGGGTCTCTTTCAGCACTGCATGGAATACCCATTTTGGTTAAGGATAACACTGCAACTAAGGATAAGATGAACACCACTGCAGGTTCTTTTGCTCTTCTGGGCTCTGTGGTGCGTAGAGATGCAGGTGTAGTCACTAGGTTAAGAAAAGCTGGGGCTATCATTTTAGGGAAGGCCACACTCAGTGAGTGGTCACATTACAGGTCAGTTGATGCACCCAATGGTTGGAGTGCCAGGGGAGGATATGGAAAGGTGCTTCATTTTCCTTCTTCTTTTATTAGGTTTAATTATGCCAATTTCTATGAATTAATTAATAGTCGTTTCTTAATTTTTTTTATCCTAAATAATATTAAACTTTTTATTGTTTGCTTAGTTTATTTTAGACTTTTGTAGAGGTTCGAGAAGGAATTCAAATTATGCATGTTCCAGTACCAAATAGTTAGAAATAATAGTTGTTAAATAGTTGTGTTGGTTGTCAAATTATGTTTTTCTGATATATTTAACTAGTTAAAATTTTTAATTCGGTTGAAGGCAAGTTCAAATTAGATTTAAACAAATGCGCTTTCGGTTGTCTTGTATCATAGATATGAAATTTTAATATCTCATTATGAAAACTCCACTAGCTTAAATGATCTTTCACTTATAATGAGCATCTTTCACATCCATTCATTTAACATTTAATGATTCACAGATAACATTGGAGGATCATCCAGTGAGTGGAAAAAGTCAAAGTGAACTTCATCATTTTATTATAAGACATTAGTTGATTTTTAAATGCAACTTTCAGTTTTGATTATTGGTTAAAGGCTTTTAGTTTTAGTTAAATGTCAAGTTTTAGTCGTCTTAGTGTGGTTAATTTGAATATGTTCCGGATCAAAATTAAAAATGAGTTGGTTTGAACTCAAGGTTGAATTGAGTTCATTTTGAGTTACAATTTAAGCTAAGCTATAATGAATGTTGAATTAAATTGATCACCGATACGAGAATACTATTTTAAAGGTTGATATGAAGTCAAAGGATGAGATGAACCACCTAGAACAATTTTTGAGATGGCCTAGTCCAAACGAAGGTAATAATAAGTCGGCCATAATTGAAGGTGGAGACAAGGAACCTGAGATGAAGGTGGAGATAAGCCAACTCGAGATGAAAGTTGAAACGAATCGACCACGACCTAATATGGAGACGTGAAGGACTAGCATGAGCTAAAGGTTGAGATGGACCAACCCGAATCCAAGATTGTGTTGAGCTTGTCTGGACAAAAGGCAAAGATATGTTAGACATCAACCTTTGACCTAGGTTGAAGGTTAAGACGAGTCGGTTTAGACCAAAGGTTAAGATAGGCTTGAATCGAAGGTCCAGACGAGTCACTCCAGATTGAAGGTCATAAATTGATCAGTCTAGTCAAAAGGTTGAGAAAGCCTGACCTAGGAAAATGTCGAGACGGACCAATCTGGACCGAAGGTCGACAGGAGTCAATCTAGGATGAAGGTAAAAAAGGACTAGTCCAAGGCCGAAGGTCGTGACACCGACCAATTAGGACAAAAGGTAGAGACGAGTCCACCCAGGAAAAAGTTTGAGACATGTTCGCCTAAGGAACATGTCGAAAATTGTTGACTTAGGAAAAAGTTTGAGACGATCAGCTCAGGCTGAAGGTTTAGATAGGTCAACCTAGGCCAACCTAGGCCAAAGGTTGAGACGTGTTGAAGGTCGAGTCCAGGCTTATATTTCAGCTGAGTTAGTTGGACCAAAGGTCAAGATAAGTTGACATTAATGAAGGTCGAGACGTGTCGCTCGAGCTGAAGGTCAATGTTGGGTAAAGGTTGAGTCTAATTGGCCTAGGTTGAAAGTTGAGTTGAGTCAACCCAATTGAAGGTTGAGTTGAGTTTGTTTGGGCTATTTGGACCAGTTAGCTTAGGTGTAAGGTTAAATAAAATCATCTTGGGAGGAAGGTTGAGTTGAGTCAACCTAATCTATATTTGAGTCAAGTAAACCCAGACCCATAGTTGAGTCGAGTCAACCTAAACCCATAGATAAGTCAAGTTAGTCTAAGTCAAAGGATAAGATGATTCATTATTGGTCGAAGGTTGAGATGACTTGGCACAAGCCAAAAGTCAAGACAAATCAGTTTAGGTCGAGTTAGAGCCAAGTCGGCATAGGTCAAATGTCAAATAAAGTCGTTTGAGCTGAAGATACTTAGCCAAATTTGGCCTCAAACATCCAGGCATCCGGCCTCCACTATTCGGCCATTCGACCTCAACTGATCGGTCATCCGGCCTCACAAGTACTTAGTCAAATTTGGCATCAACCATCCGGCCATCCGGCCTTAATTGGTCGACCATACCTTGGCCTCAAAGGAATCCCGGCCGGCTTCACCGAAGGTCCGCGACCGTGGGTCATCACGAAAGAAATCCCGACCGATCTCACCAAAGGTCGGCGACCGTAGATCTTCACCAAAGGAATCCTGGGCGGCCTCACCGAAGGTCGGCGACCGTGGATCCTCACCAAAGGAATCACCGCCGGCCTCACCGAAGGTCGGCAACTGTGGATCTTCACCAAAGGAATCCCGCCCGGCCTCACCGAAGGACCGTGATCGTGGACCTTCACCAAAGAAATTTTGGCCTGCCTCATCGAAGGATCAATAGCGTATCCAGCTCAACCAATAAAGGCAAGACCCGTTTTTCCAACCACCCATTGTGATCAATGAATAAAGAGGACATAAAGACAAAAGCCAACCGGAGAACCCGTCCTTATCAGAAAGGTCTTGTACAGAACCCCTTCGCAGAATAACATCATGCTCGGGCTTCGGGGGCTTGTGTACCGTACGGTCCTCATGGGGCCGTCCTCCAGAGGTCGTCCTCACGCGGTCGTCATCCTGCGGCCGTTGTCCCGTGGCCGCCCTCCCGTGGACATCCTCCTGTGGCCGTCCTCCCGCGGTCGTCATCCTGCGGCTGTTGTCCCCCGTGGTCGTCCTCTCGTGGCCATCCTCCCGTGGACGTCCTCCCATGGACGTCCTCCTGTGGCCGTCCTCCATGGTCGTCCTCTTGAGGCTGTCCTCCCGTAGTCGTCCTCCTGAGGTTGTCCTCCCGTGGCCGTCCTCTCTTGGTCGTCCTCCTAGGTCGTGTCCAACGGTAATGATTCATTATGCCCCTAATGCAGATTAAGGTGTGATTGGGCCGTCATTAGGCCAGCGAAAGGTAAAGGTTCATCACCAACTAGTATAAATAAAGGTCTTAGGTATGACTTTAGGAGAACGATGCACATTATATGCATGACATGCTTAGCTAACCGATCGATTATATTACTAACTTGAGCTTCAGAGTGCCTTTGACAAGTATCCGCCCGCACGGCTATGACGAGAAGGTGGGAGAGCGAATACAACTTGGATGATAGAAGACCACTAAGAAGTTCGTCCGGTCTTCAAGACAACTTGTATTGCTTTGAGCAAGGGACTTCTACCCTATACCCGAAACAAATCACATACAATATGGTAATAGGGTATTATAATTGCATTAACATAGTTACTTTGTTAACCGTAATTGTGGAATTATGGGTAAATTAATACCTTTATGATGGAATTATGGGTAAATTATGTATACCTTTATGATGTAAATGATAAAAGATGACAAGTCTTTTTATTATAAAAAGATACTAATGACTTGAAAATAGAATAAAGATGAAGTAGAAAAAAAAAAGGCAACAGAGATTAAGAGGTTACTTGGAATAGCTACCTTATAAGTTTTCTTAAAAAGGAAAAATAATTAACTTCTTCACATGTTAAAAATTTAAAAGTAAAAAAATATTTGAGAACATTTTTATAAATTAATTCATGCATAAACTAATTTTAATTTATATATGTTATGGCAGTGATGTTCTCATATTCAGTCTTCATTTCGTTTGATTAGATTAATACGAGTAGGACTTCAACGATGACAATTGTAATTAAACAAAACAATTATATAAATTGGTTGAACGAGACTGATATTGTGTGAATGATAAAAAAAAATAAGGAGTTCAGTGAGTGATTTTATTTTGCAGAATCCATACACAATGGATGATCCCTGTGGATCCAGCAGTGGATCTGCAATATCAGTAGCAGCCAATTTGGTGGCAGTTTCGCTTGGTACAGAAACAGATGGATCTATTTTATGCCCTTCAGATTCTAACTCAGTAGTTGGTATAAAACCAACAGTAGGACTCACCAGCAGAGCAGGGGTAGTTCCAATCAGCCCAAGACAAGACACTGTTGGGTATGTCCCAGTCAATGTCATCATTTTCTTCACATCATGCCCTTTCCGAGCATAATCAATTCCCCTGTTAAAATCATTTGAATTAGATTAAATGTGTAACATTCAAGGGGCTGGTGCAGACCAATATGCAGGACTGTAGCAGATGCTGCTCTTGTTCTTGAAACCATTGTAGGAATTGACACCAATGATAAAGCAACAATCAAAGCATCAAAGTATATCCCAAAAGGAGGCTATGCTCAATTTCTAAGGAAAGATGGACTACAAGGAAAGAGACTGGGAGTGATGAGAAATTTCTATGATTATGGAAAAGATACTTTTCAGCACGAAACATTTAAGCTACACCTGAATACATTAAGGTAATGAAAATATATATCTACTTGTCAAGAATATTAGTTATGATTATTACTGTACTCAGTCTCATGTGCTTCTTACAAATTCAGGGAAAAAGGAGCAATTTTGGTTGACAATGTGGAGATAGAAAACATTGATGAAGTTTATAGCGGTCCAAGTGAAGGTATTGCTTTGGCATTTGAATTCAAATATTCCTTGAACGCATACCTCAAAGATTTAGTTGCTTCCCCGGTGAGAAGCTTGGCCGATGTGATAGCCTTCAACAATAAACACCCAAAACTGGTTAGTGCATGAGAATGTAATATCTAGTTAATGTACAAATGTAGATACAATATAAAAAATATACAAAACACAAATCCATTTTAATAATATGAAAATATACAAGATTAAATATATTTTTTATCTCCAAACTATTAAAAAAAATTATTTTTATGTCTAAACTAAATTATAAAATATTTTATTTAAAACATCTTATATATGAATAAATTGTACGAACAATGTTTGTCATATGACAAGCTAAATTTTACTTAAATTATAATATAATATTTTTATATTTTTGGTTTGGGACGATGTTTTACATAATTTTTGTAAAAAATATTTTATAATTTGATTTAGAAATAAAATATGATTTTTTATAATAATTTAAGGACAAACGATATATTTGACCCTAATGATGAATAATTTAAATTAAAAAATAAAATAATATAATTAAAATACCAATTTATAATTTGTTAAAAGAATTTTTCTTATTAATATTAAAATATCACCTCTGATTTAGTATTGTTTTCGTAAAATAAAGAGTTGTTTCTTCTAAATTACTTTCAAAATATTTTACTAGAATGATGTCTAGATTTAAGGATAATTTTTTTAAATAATACATTAAATAAAATTTAGAAAAAATTTAAATTTGTTATAATTATACAAGTGTTGCTGGGAAAATTTTAAAAATGGGAATATATACTATAGAGGTGAAAGTCAAATTGAAAAGAAACACCAGTATGAAGTAGATATTGAGGAACTGTTTCTGTGATGTGTTTTTGATTAACCTATGATTGGTTGGTAATATAGCAACTTAGTATTGGTACGGAAATGGCAGGAGAAAGTTAAGGAGTATGGACAAGATCTCTTGGTGCATGGTCAGAATACAAATGGAACTGGGACACTGGAACAAGCATTATTAAACTTGACAAAATTGTCAAAAGATGGGTTTGAGAAAGCAGTGATAAGAAATAAACTTGATGCGGTTGTTGTACCTGGTGCAATCTTTAGTTCTGTACTTGCTATTGGAGGTTATCCTGGAATAACTGTTCCAGCAGGATATGAAAAGGGTAGGCCATTTGGAATTTGCTTTGGAGGTTTGAGAGGCTCTGAGCCAAAGCTCATCCAAATTGCCTATTCCTTTGAGCAAGCAACCATAATCAGGAAGCCTCCTCCTTTTCGAAAGTTATAAGCAATGTTTTATCATTCATGTTATCATTTATTTATGGATTGTAAAATTAAAGAATGGGATTCCTATAGTAGTTTGAAACTTATCTATGACTGTAATATTTATGTATCCTCGTTTAATTTTTAATATTGAATTTTTAATTGATCGTTATACTTTCAAATAATATTTTAATTAGAATTTATAATAATTGAGTTTATTAAGCATGAGATATGATAAAAATAGATTTTTAGTTGTATAAATATTTTTTAGATATTTTAATATGTGTTATTGTAGTTGTAGTTAAATTGAACTTTCTGATATATAAAAATAAATTAGTTAAAATTTCATAACACTTTAAAGATAAATCCAAGAATAACAAATAATCAAAATCATACTAAGTTAAGACAATATTGCATAAAAAATGTAAGAAAAACATTAAATAAAAGTGAAAATTTTTGACTAAATTAGACAACAAAAATTGAATCTTGCAGTTTTATTTATTTTCTTACAAAAAGACCTTTGATAATTTATAAATATTTATGATAAAACAATAATTTGGAAAAAATAGATAAATATTTTATTTGATATTGTTAAATAATTACATTATTTAACTATATAAGTAAATATTAAAAGATAATATTTGCCAATCTTTTTTAATCTAATAAATATCTTTTTAAATATTTTTATATCTCCACAATAATAAAATATATCTTGAAGATATTGCATTGTTTAGAAGATAATTAGAAGGGATTACATTATCAAAAAGAAAATTATAATAACAGAAAAAACCAAAATAAAGTCGAGTCCAATTTTTATATAAAGAGACATAGGGAAACACATTAGGGGAGCTTAGGAACCCTTGGGGTTATAATTTCGTCCTTTCTCTTCTCTCGTGTTCTTCACCTTCTCTTCTTCTATTTTAATACTATTTCTACATTCCATTGAGTGTTAAGCCTATAGGGTTGATTCTACTATAATTTCTTAACTGGATTTTGAGGTTAGATTAATAAATTTGTTTGTTCTTTTGATTCTTGTTGTGATTTATTTTTATCTATGTCTTTTGTTTGTTAATCAAGTAAAAGTAATGATTTTTACATTGTGGCAAGTTAGCATGGTGTTAAATCTACATAACATACCAATCATATGAGTCTAAGAGTTTTTAATTTTAATTGAGAATTTACTTTGATTAAAGTTATAAACTTTCATGTGATTGAATATGTTTTTGCCAATAATTGAGAATATTAAAAGTGAAAACTTTAACAAGAATTGACCAATAATGTACTTTGTTTTTAACTGATAATGTACTTTGGTGGATAGTTAGAACACCAACAAATTAATTGAGAATTTACATTGATTAATTTGAAAATCTAAAACAATAATTAATTGAACAATAATCTTTAGATAACCAATGATGAATCCTATTTTAAAAAAACAATGAAATCAACCTATTTTCTTTATCATTGATTTTTTCTTTTTAAATCTTTTTATAAATTTATTTTTTCTATCTTTTGTTATTTTTTTAATCTTTATCTTCTTTATTGTTTTTATTTGACTAACCTTTTTATATAGTTTTTATGAGAACTAATTTGTTAAGAATCAATTATGTGTTCGTTGCGATACGAGTTATGGTTAAGTTTACCTTTTTGTATTTTGTTAGCTATTATCTTAGCACTACTGAAGTTGTTATAGTTTAGTAGTATTTATTTGATTGTATCAATGATAATGTTATTAAATTTGGTACCGTTGTCGGAAAACACGATTATAATTTTTATAATTTTGGTTCTTATTTTATTTTATTTTTGTTTATCATTAACATTTTATTTTTCTCTATTTTTATATCATTTATTTTATTTAATTTAGTAAATTTGTATTTTATATATCACAATTTTTGTTTGAGGAATTTTGTTGGAAAAATTGTGAAACTAGTTGGGGAACACTTTGTTTAAGGAAAAATATGGTACTTATTGAGACACACATCTCTTTTCTAGAAGACTACTTAACAAGATTTCAACTTATTTCTTTTTCAGAAAATCTCTTTCAGAAGTGTAAAGTAATTTTTCATATGAAAATAGTCAACAAATAAATTATTATTATTATCCACATCAACTACATGATTCATATGGTTATCAATAACAAGTTGTCACACCTAGTACTCCATTTGATATAAGTAAGCTCACTATATGTCAAACAAATTACATATATAGTACATAATCTTTTTTTAAATATGAGCAACAACCATATAGATCATCTTATAGGGAAGTTGTGTTATTAATGGATGGAGTGAAAGAGAAACTAGAAGTCATAGATGAAAGACATGTTGATCAACTATGGAAAAATATTGTGTATGAATGGTACGAAGAATGATGAAATATTATGCAACATGATGGAGGTAACAATAACTTTTTAGAATTACTTCTAAGTGTTAATTTCTACTATCCAATCACATCACAGATTTTCTGAAATTATAGAGTTTAGAACACTTCCATCATGAGATAAAAGGTATGGTTCTAAAGTTTCAATGTTATTTTGTTGTTTTAGAAATTCAAATTATGCATTTGTAATCTGCAATATCAATTGTATTCAGTCAAAACTTTTCAATATCAATTAAGAGGTAGTGTTATAAAATAAAAATATATATTACCCATCTTAGCAATATGAAACCACAAAGTAACGATGTTTAATGTAATCCTTTATATTATATTGATTAATTAGGTTAATTATTAATTCTATCTAGTTTATACATTTAAACTATTTTTAGCATAAACATTATTTATAAATAAACATGTTTAATAAAATGGTATAAATATTTTATAATTCAACAAATTAAAACGAAAAGTAGATAGCATACTGGTACACAATTAAATGTAATGCATTATTCAAAATATAAAGATTCTCGTCTGCTTCCTGGCTCGTCAAGTTTCTCCTCTAACGCGGTTACACTGTTATTGCCACAGTTTGCGACCCAAGTATATGTTTTTTCTTTTTCTGTAGTTTTTGTTTTTGTGGCATATATGTTTTAGGGTGGTATGATCTTTCAAAGATTTTGGCCGAAGAGACTGCGTGGAAATTTACAAAAGAAAACAATATTGACTTGGTTACAATAAACCCAACATCGGTTAATGGACCTCTCTTGCAACCAGACACTAGTGCAGCGAGGGGCTTTTACCGCGGTTCATTTTCACTATACGTCGCGGTTTAAGAACCGCGGCATATTCAGCCGCGGTAGTAAGTCAGACACTTTAGGCCGCGGTTATAACCGCGGTATATAACTTTAGGAATATGCCGCGGTTGT